TGGCAGGGGATGGAATGGGATGAGCTTGAAGGTCCCTTCCAGCCCAAACCATTCCATGAGTCTGTGAATGTAGGGAAGCCCGTGATAAGGATTCCTCTGCCACTCCAAAGTGCTGAGTTTGAACTAGTTATGGATCTTGGTGGCAAAGGGAACAGTTCAGTCCCTGACCAGGACTGAGATGGTGACCCCTCCACGCCCCGTGTGTGCAGGGGAAGCAGTGCTGGCTCTGCAGGAGGACTCAGCAGAGCTCCAGCCCTGTGGGTTTTGGCAAGGTGCTGACCACTGCTCCTTCTCCTTCCTCCCCCAGGAGTTCCCCTCTCCACCCAGTGGGGGCCCCAGGGCTACTTCTACCCCATCCAGATCGCCCAGTACGGGCTGAGCCACTACAGCAAGAACCTGACGGAGAAGCCGCCGCACGTGGAGGTTTATGAGACAGCCGAGGACAAGGACAGGGGCAGGGCCGGGGACTGGGCCGTGCCCAAGGGCTGCTCCCTGACCACGGTGTGGGACAAAGCCAAGCTCACCGGGGTCAAACAGTTCTCTGCTCCAGGTGGGTTGTCCTGAAGGTGTCACAGGTAACCTGTTCATTTGAACATGCTGTGCCAGAGGAGCCTTAACTTCTTGGGATTCATGTGTTTGTTTTCATTTACCCTTCATTCCCATCCTTCATTCCCCATCCTTGATTCTCTATCCTTTATTCCCCATCCTTTTGATTCCCCGTCCTTTTCATTCCCCATCCTTTTCATTCCCTGTCCTTTGTCCCCTATCTTTGATTCCCCATCCTTGATTCCCCATCCTTGATTCCCCATCCTTGATTCCCCATCCTTCATCCCCTATCCTTCATCCCCTATCCTTCATCCCCTATCCTTCATCCCCTATCCTTCATTCCCCATCCTTCTTTTCCTGTCCTTCATTCCTTATCCTTCTTTCCCCATCCTTCATCCCCCATCCTTCATCCCCCATCCTTCATCCCTATCCTTTTCATTTCCTATCCTTTTCATTCCCCATCCTTGATTCCCCATCCTTCATCCCCCGTCCTCCATTCCCCATCCACCTCACCTGAGAGCTCACCCCCCTTCCCTCAACCCCTCAGGGCCTCTGGAGATCACCTCATCCAAGGCCCTGATTCCTGTCCCTCTGGAGTTTTCCCTGTTTTCTCCCCCCCACTGGCTTCCAACCCTGTTCTATTCCAACCCAAAGGCTGGATGTGCTCATGGAGGGGATGAGGAGTCACATTTCCCAAACCTTCCAGCTCCTGTCCCAAAATAGCAGCTGCAGGAGGAGGTGGGAGCGTGTGGGGTGTGCCAGGGGATGGGACAGGTGGCACAGAAGGGCTGTTTCCAGCCCGGAGCACGGGCAGGACCGGGAGCTCTCTCTCACTGGGATACAACTGTGCTTGTAAAATTTAGGGTCTTAATTCTGCCTAAACCCAGGTAGAATTACAGAATATATTGAGTTGGAAGGCACCTCAAGAATTAAGTCCCTGAGGACACCCCAAAATCCCTCCCTGTGCCCGAGAGTGTTGTCCAAACCCTCCTTGGGGCTGTGCCCTCTGCCCTGGGGAGCCTGTGTAGTGCCCAGACACCCTCTGGGGGAAGAACCTGCTCCCAGTATCCATCCCAAACCTCCCTGACACACCCTAAAATTGCCTTAGAGAAAGAAGAAGAGTGTTTTGGGGTCTCCCAGTTGTTCCCTTCACCACATTTTGCTGCCACCTCCCTGATTCCCCCTGTTCTGTTTGGTATTTAGGAGGGAAACCCATTATTTAATCCAAGAGTTCCCCTTGTGCCAGGCCAGGCTCATTAATAAGGCCCTAATGTATTTTCCCTCAATCAATACCCACTGGAATTAATGAGTCCATTACTTCCAAGGACAATGAAGTAATTTTCTGTTGGCACCTCGGCCCTGGGGCTCCCGGGAAAAGGTTGTCCAACACTTTTGTGTCTTTGTAGTGGATAAATACAGGGAGAGGGGAGGATAAAAGGTCTGGGCTGTGTTCTCTCCTCATCCTTTATTGATGGCTGGGTAATCCATGGATATGGATATGCATCCACTCCTCTGAGCAGGCCCTAAGTAATGGATTTATGGATGCTTAAGGCACAGCAGCCACGAGCAGCCTTTAGTTCCTTGCTTCTCCAAACTCTTTTTCCTCCCTCTTTTCTAATTCTCTTTGTTATAATTTATTTACAAGGAACCATAAAACTCACTTGACAGGCACTGTGAGAGGGGGGAGGTTAATTAGGTTTTTTTCCACAGGAGCAAAACGTGGTGGCCCAAAGCGCTCGGTTCCTTCTCTCAGAGCAGAGGCTGAGCTTAAAACTCCCAGCTTTTCCTTGAAAAGCTTGGAAAACATGACATTCAGTCAAAAAAATTGGGACTGGACAACAGAGCCTGTACAGGAGGTGTTTTAAAATTCCAGGGATTAGTTTGGGAGGCAGGAAAAGCTGCCCATGACGTGCTGGTTGCACGGAGAAACGTGTCCGGGGTATTTCCCACATCCCAGAGCAGAAATAAGGAAACAATGGCCTTTTCCAGGAGAGTTTTATCCCATGGAAAGCCCTTAATTTGATGTGACACTCTGTAAGTGTTCATCATCCCTCTGTGCATTCAAACCTCCAGGATTTGCTCTCAGCCTTCCAAATTAATTATCCTTTTGATCTCCCGCTGTAGGTTTTGTGGGAGAAGTTGATATTTTCAAATCCAGAGAACACTGGATTTTATTCTGTGGCAGTGCCTGGGAGCTTTATTTAATTTATAGCTTAAAATTAAGCTGAGTTTTGCCAATGCAGAGGTTAAGAAATATTTTAACGCACTCATCTTTATTCCTTGGTTTTTCCCCCCATTAAACTAATCGGGTTTTGGCTCTGTCAGGTTGGGAAAGAAAAAAATCCCAGAAACAGTCCCAGGAGGATCCTAAATACCTGCTTCTGGCATTCCTGGTTTTTTTTCCCTTTGCTGAAAGCAGAGCTTTATTCAGGAATGTGAGGCTGCAGCAGCGCCGGGTTTTGGTGTCGTTGTGCCAAGGGAGGTTTTAATTTGGGAACAAAAGGGTGGTTGTTGGTTTATTATTGAGTTACAGCAGAGGAAAATCAGGGAGCATCTCAGTTCTTGCTGTGCCCCATCCTGGAGGAAAGGTGCTGCTCTAGGGGAAGGTGTTCCTGCCCGTGGCAGGGTGGTTTGAGACGAGCTTTAGGGTCCCTTCCAGCCCACCCCATTCCAGGAGGGGCCCTGTGCCCTGCCAGGCTGGTGGCCTGTCCCCAACCCTGGGTGCTGCTGGGTCATGGCTCCCCTCCATCCATGAGGTACCAGAAACATCCCATAAAACGCTGGATGGAGCCCCTGGCACTGCCGCAGCCCTTTAATGGGAGGCACAAACAGGTTCTCCCCTTCGCTCCCAGATTTACTTTTATGCTTAATTAAATAATGTGCAACAGCCCAGAAACGACTGAATTATTGATGGGCTGCCCTGAAAGCTTTGGGCTCCTGCCTGGGGAGGGGGTGGTTCCCCGGGGGAGCTGCCCTGCCCAGCTGTGGGGCGCTGAGCTGTCGGGTTTGTTCGCAGACACCAGCGAGGGGGTGTCCCTGCAACTGGGGAACACCCGGGACTTCATCATCTCCTTCGACCTCAAGTTCGTGACCAACGGCAGCATTTCGGTGGTGCTGGAGACGACAGAGAAGAACCAGCTGTTCACGGTGCACTACGTGTCCAACACGCAGCTCATCGCCTTCCGCGACAGGGACATCTACTACGGCATCGGGGCGCGCACCAGCTGGAGCACCCTGACCAGGGACCTGCTCACCGACCTGCGCAAGGGCGTGGGGCTCTCCAACACCAAGGCCGTCAAGCAGACCAAGATCATGCCCAAGCGGGTGGTCCGGCTGGTGGCCAAGGGCAGGGGCTTCCTGGACAACGTCACCATCTCGGCCACGGCGCACATGGCCGCCTTCTTCGCCGCCAGCGACTGGCTGGTGAGGAACCAGGACGAGCGGGGCGGGTGGCCCATCATGGTGACCAGGAAGCTGGGGGAGGGCTTCAAATCCCTGGAGCCGGGGTGGTACTCGGCCATGGCGCAGGGCCAGGCCATGTCCACGCTGGTGCGGGCCTACCTGCTGACGCGGGACGCGGCCTTCCTGGGCGCGGCCCTCAGGGCCACCGCGCCCTACAAGCTGCCGGCGGAGCAGCGCGGGGTCAAGGCCGTGTTCATGAACCGGCACGACTGGTACGAGGAGTACCCCACGTCCCCCAGCTCCTTCGTGCTCAACGGCTTCATGTACTCCCTCATCGGGCTCTACGACCTGAAGGAGACGGCGGGCGAGAAGCTGGGCCGGGAGGCGCGGCTGCTCTACGAGCGCGGCATGGAGTCCCTCAAGGCCATGCTGCCGCTCTACGACACCGGCTCGGGCACCATCTACGACCTGCGCCACTTCATGCTGGGCACGGCGCCCAACCTGGCCCGCTGGGACTACCACACCACCCACATCAACCAGCTGCAGCTCCTCAGCACCATCGACGACTCGCCCATCTTCAAGGAGTTCGTCAAGAGGTGGAAGAGTTACCTGCGGGGCGGGCGGGCCAAGCACAACTGAGCTGCCACCAAAGCCGCCGGCCGGGTGACGGCCCCGCTTCTCTACGGCCCGTTCGAAGAAGTGATCCTTAGAACTGCTCTCCTGAAATCACTGCATTCCAGGGTGGGAACCTTTGGGTCCGAGCGGTGGGGCCGGGGAGCGTCACCCGTCCCCTGCGCTCCGCCAAGCGAAACCCCCCCGTGCTCCTGAGTCTGAGGCTGGGTTTTGTCGGGTTTTAGTTTTCCTTTTTGCAGGAAAATGTTTGCAGAAGCCATAGAGGTCTCGAAAGTCCCGCAGGCCTCGCCTGAAGAGTTAATCCGTGGCCTCTTAAACTGAGTCTATGTGTCTCTGTGGGAACAGCTCCTGTGGTGTGACGCCGTCGATGTGACTTCACTCGTAGCCTGGGTAGTGCACAGTGTATCTTTTAAAGGCGGGGGTGTTTTTTAATAGGAATTCTTTTCTCGGGGTGACAAACACACCTTTTTAAGTTTTTCCCCAGTCCTCTGGCTGGAGATCCTTTAGCTGGAGGGTTTCTCCCCAGACGTGTGGGCGGAGGACGCGCGGCCGGCGCCACGTAAGCACAACTCGGTGAGGCTCGCGGGGCCCCCGGAGCCTGAGCCTCATCACCCCCAGGTTCACCATCACCCCTCACTGGTGTCACCTCAGAGCTTGGATCCCTCCTCTGGAGCCTGATGTCCTGTCTTGGGTTTTGTGATTCCCTCTGAGAGGTTTCTCTGAGCTTTGGCCGCTTCTTTTTGGGGACACTCATGGCGAGTTGCTGAGCGGGACGTGGAGCTCGTCCCGAGTCGCTCAGGAAATTCGGTTGGGGTTCATTAAGGTTTTCCTGAGGTGATTTTAATTTTTAACCTGCTCGATCCATCAAGCATTTTAGAAATTGAAGTTACCTCAGAGGGCTCTGCAGCTCTGCCTGGGCTTTAATTCCTGAGAGGTTGTGGCTGCCCCATCCCCTTGGAAGTGTCCAAGGCCAGGTTGGACAGGGCTTGGAGCAACCTGGGCTAGTGGAAGGTGTCGCTGGGTTGGAACTGGATGAGCTTTAAGGTCTTTCCATCCCAAACCATTCCAGGATTCCATGATTCACTGTCTTACAGTGTAAGGGGTCATTACACCTCCAGCAGTGGCTTCTTGGGTGTGATTTGCCTTTGTGGCTCTGCCAAGTGACCAGTGGTCCCTGTGCACATCCCAACCCACACATCCCAACCCACACACTGGAATGGAGAAGAAACCAGGTGGATTCTTCCCATTTCCCAGTCCTTTACACCCACATTACTCTGAGGTGTCTGGGGTGATCCAGAGGAGTCAAACCAACCCATGGCTGAGGTTTGCTCTGACCCCAAACTCCCGGAGAGGACACGGATTGACTGTGGGGCTCCCACTGCTCCCATTCCATGCTGTCCATGGAGGTGGGGCTTCAGGTGTTCACCCAAACCCCAGGGAGGCCGGGCACAAGGACAACATCCATCTGCATTTGAGCATTGCTTTGATTTTTTTGATGCTTTTTGGGATTTCTGGCAGAGATTTGAAGCAACTTTTGAATTACTTGATGTTCCAGCCCATGCTCCCACCACACGGATCCGTGTGGGACGTGGGGGTGGAGGAGGAATTTCAATACCAAAGGTAGCAGAGGTGATTTTTGTTACATATCTGTGCGCACACAAAACCACCCTAAAAATGTGCTTCCCCCCCAAAAAACTGGTCCTTCCTGCGACATCTCCCTCCTGCTTCTTCCCTCCACCCTGTCCCCGTTTGGGAGTTGGGGAATCTGGAGACACCCTTTGGGTGCTGCTCGAGAGATGGTTTTGGTGCCTTATGGAGGCCACAATTTCCAATTTTTGTTGTTTTTTTTTTCCCTAATTACATCCAATTCCAGGATTGGAGCGTGGCTGATCCGGCTCGGAAGCGCGAGCTGGCCGTGCCAGCACCATCGGTCTTGTCCCACCACCTGATCCTTAACATCCCATTGCATTTTCTTGGCCTTAGCACTGGTGGAGCTCCAAGGATGCCCCACCAGAGGTGGTAGGACCGTGGAGAATCCGTGTGGAGTTTCTCCTGGCATTCCCTCAGTTGAGTTGTGCGGTGGCAGAGGATCATCGGACACGGCACCAACGCCAGCGGCGCCCAAACCTCCACCAAATCCATTTTGACTTTTTTTGGGGTTTTTTGTTGATTTTCACTCTCCAAACCGACACACAGATCTTTGGCACTGAGCCCTCAGACTCCAGACTCCGATCCGAGCTCTCGGAGCCCCGGATCCAGCGAATCCTCCCGCGGGATTTGCCGTCCCTGGACGCCATCAGAGGCGTCGCGCTCGCGGATCCCCCCGACCAGTGACACAAGCACAACCCTCCCAGTGGGCAGGTGCCATTCCCTGGAAGCTGCCATTCCCTGGAAGCTACCATTCCCTGGAAGCTGCCATTCCCTGGAAGCTACCATTCCCTGGAAGCTGCCATTCCCAGGAAGCTGCTCTTCCCACCCCCCTCCTCGTGGGGCTTTGGTTTGCCGGGTTCTCGCTGCGCCGCCGTGGCCGGGCGGGCTCTCCCCGTGTGGTAAATATGCAATAACTTGTTTACAGGATGCTCTGGGCAGGGTGGTCCTTTGTAAAGCTGTACAGCCTTTGCAGTTCAAGCACAATGTGCACAGTTAGTTTTCTATTCAGCCAAACCTGAGTTTTTTGCAGCAGGAAGAGGTTCCTCTATGTTTCTATACGACGTGAAAATGGGTCAGCGTTTGTGCTTCGTGTAAAAGCTGCTTTATAAGACTGTAAAATAAATTTTTTTATCTTAAGGCAAGCACGGGGTGTCTTCTTCTTCTCAGCCACCCCCCCCCTGGTGGCTTTGGGGAGGTTTGGATTCTGAGGAAGGTGGAAAATAACTCATTTTTTCACTGATTTGCTGGTTTGAGGTAAGAAGCACAAATCGATGTTCTCTGTCTGCTGGGGTGAAGGTCACGAGGTGGGTTCCTGGTGGGAGTGATTTCTGCTGAATCTGCTTTGGTTTGAGTTTCATGGGGTTTGTTAAATCATAGTTTTAATTGACTGGTCACTAAAAACACCTGAACAAAAATGGTTGGTAAAGTAAGAAATTCAGGACTCTTAAAGCTCCAGGGAGACCTGAGAGCCCCTTGCAGGGCCTAAAGGGGCTCCAGGAGAGCTGGAGAGGGACTGGGGACAAGGGATGGAGGGACAGGACACAGGAATGGCTTCCCACTGCCAGAGGGCAGGGACAGATAGGATATTGGGAAGGAATTCCTGGCTGGGAGGGTAGGGAGGTCCTGGCACAGGTTGGGCAGAGAAGCTGTGACTGCCCCTGGATCCCTGGAAGTGTCCAAGGCCAGGCTTGGACGGGCCTTGGAGCAACCTGGGACAGTGGAAGGTGTCCCTGCCCATGGCAGAGGGTGAGATGGGATCAAGATCAACTTTAAGATCCAAAAGAAACCACTCCAGGATTCTCCCACTCCTCGGGTGAGAATATTGATTTCCATTCCTTAGCAGTTCGTTAAAACACAGGGATTGAAAATAGAAGTGGATTTAAGTCTGTTGCTTGGTGATGGATTTGGGTGTTTGCTGCTCAGTTCCTGGTGGAAGGAGCCACATTTCCCATCTGCCTGGAGTGACTGATCATCCCATGGATGCCTTGTGCTTCTGGAATGTTAAATAGCTGCTTCTCTCCTTAATCTCTTCCCCAGGCTCTCCCAGGCTGGCAGAGCTTCCCCATCCAAGGGCTTTGGCCCCAGGGACAAATCCCAGCAGGAGTTCTTGGCCGGTCTGTTGTGTCCAGCCCCCAGGACATCCTGCTCCCGGGGCTGGGCTGCGGCTCCAGTCCCCTTTTCCTGCAAAAAAGAGGATTTTCCACTGGGCTTCAACCCCTCGGTGCTGGGAAGTTTCCACTGGTTTGAAACTGGACTGTCACTCGTTGCACAAAGTGTTTTAAAGGACGTGTGGATGTGGCACTTGGGGACACGGTCCAGGGGTGGCCTTGGCAGTGCTGGGGGATGCTTGGATTTGATGATCTTTAAGGGCTTTTCCCACTTGTGATTTTGTGATTCCCTGGGAGGCACCAGGGGCTGGCACAGCCTTTCCAAGTGCTGGTTTGGGAATCAGGAGGTTTCCCAGGGCTGGGAGGAAGGTCCTGCCTCGGGCAGGAGGTCGAAGGACTCGGGATAATCCCTGTCCCCCGTGGCTCTGGCAGAGCTGCTCCTGGGATTATTGCTGAGACTGTGTCCGTGATCATACCAAACGATCCAGAGTAATTTCAAAGCTTTTCCCGGCTCTCTGCCATCCCAGCAGCAGAATTCCAACCTTTCCAGCTCTGATGCAGCCCAGAAACCCAGGCAGGTGAGGGGGCACCTGGAGTCAATCCACATCCTGGGCTCTGCTTTGGGAGGAAAAAAGCCTGGAGAGGGTTCAAAACACACACTCGGTGCCAAAAGTGTGGGGTGGGCACAGAGGGAGTGTTTTCTCCCTGCTCTTCCTGAAATCCTGTGGGTTGGGGACCGTGGGGGGATCAGTCAGTGACAGTCCCCCTGGGAATGGACGTGCCCAGGGCACAGCACAGCAAATCCTCCTTTTGTGCCAACACTGCGGGAGCTGGGGGTGATCCAGAGGCACCTGGTTATCCAGGATGCAGCTCCAAGGAGGAACTGTGATGGAATTGTCCTCCTTGTGGTGCCTGGGACAGCCTGGCTTTCCTCATCCCAGCAAAAGGGCTCTTTATGAACCCAGCAGGAAACATCGGCTTCTCCAGCACCATCCACCCATCCCTGCATCCCTGGCTCATCCCTGGCCCATCCCTGCATCCCCAGCCCATCCCTGCATCCCTGGCCCATCCCCAGCCCATCCCTGCATCCCCGTCCCATCCACCCATCCCTGGCTCATCGCTGCATCCCTGGCTCATCCCTGCATCCCCCACCCATCCCTGCATCCTCCACCCATCCCTGCATCCCCAGCCCATCCCTGCATCCCTGGCTCATCCCTGCATCCTCCACCCATCCCTGCATCCCCAGCCCATCCCTGCATCCCTGGCTCATCCCTGCATCCCCAGCCCATCCCTGCATCCCTGGCCCATCCCTGCATCCCTGGCTCATCCCTGCATCCCCCACCCATCCCTGCATCCCCCACCCATCCCTGCATCCCTGGCCCATCCCTGCATCCCCAGCCCATCCCTCCATCCCCGTCCCATCCCTGCATCCTCCACCCATCCCTGCATCCCTGGCCCATCCCTGCATCCCCGGCCCATCCCTGCATCCCCAGCCCATCCCTGCATCCCCGGCCCATCCCTGCATCCTTCACCCATCCTGCATCCCTGGCTCATCCCTATATCCCTGGCCCATCCCTGCTGGGGTCAGAGCACCCCGTGTTTGCTGCCAGGGGTGAGTTTTGTGGGAGTTTGAGTCCATGGGATTTGCTGGTGGGATCCAAATCCATTCCTGATCCATCGGTGCCAATCCCTGTCTCTGCCCCGTAGCTGCCTCCCGACGGTGGGTGAGCTCTGGCATTGGGAATTGGGCAGAAACTTGGCTCTGGAGCATCCCCCATGGTGGGAATGGGAATCCCAGAGCCCTGGGAAGGTGTGTCCAAGGGGAATCTGTGCCCCAGTGCCAGCTGGGGAGGGATAACCCCAGAAATGGATGAAAGAGTGGGATTAAAGCACAGGATAGTGCTGGGCATCCATCAGCCCTGCTGGAATGACCCTCCAGCAGTTCATTATTCCTCTTCTTCCAGCTCCTTAATAATTGAGGAGCCATGCCCAGGATCCCTCTCCATCCTCCACAGCCTCCTGCTCCTCAAACGGTGTGAAACGTTTCCAAAGGCTGCAGCAGAAACAGTGGATTTTGGGAGCAGAAAGGGAGAAACGTCCCAGGTTTTCTACCGGTGTGGGGAGAGCTGGAGGCTCCTGCTTTGGCTGGCTGGGGTCCTCCATCCAGCTGGGAATAATCTGGGAATGAGCATCTCCCTCTTCATCCCTGGGAGGGTTTGAACTCGCCCGTCTCCTTGGGGACAGTTCAGCGAGTTTCGGGATTTTCCGGCGGCCCTGGGAGCTTGGGATGCACCGGGAGGGCTGGGAGTTAATATTTTTTCCTGCCCTTATTCCACTTCCTCGCAGCTCGGCCGAACTAATCCCGAGCCATCGGGAGCGTTTGGCCACAGTTATTTCCGGTTTTATTTTGTTGCCTTTTTCCTGTTCCACTCCAAGACGAGCCAGAATTAATTCGCTCCCTAAGCCGGGAGCGGGGTTTGCCCGAGCCGGGTCGGGGCGCGGGATCATCCCGGCGGGTGCCGCCGCCTCCCCGCGCTTCCCGCTGGATCCCGCCCGTGGCAAAGCCTGTGGAGCGGCGGTGCCGCCCCGGCCGGGCCATGTGTGCCGGGTTCGGACTCACATGAGCGCCCGCGGGTGCGGAGCCAGCGCCGCCCGCCCCGCGCCGCCAGGACCGGCCGTAAGTACCGGCCGCGCCGCTTCCCCCGCCGCATTCCCGCTGCCCGCTTTTCCCGCTGGATGCCCAGGCTTTGCACGGCAGGAATTGGCCCCCGGCTCCGTGTTGGGAGGCCGGGAATGTGTCCCGGCCCCGTGGAAAGGTGTGGGCAGGAGCTGGCGGGGCGGTGGGGCCGGAACGCGCCGAGCTTTCCCTGCCCTCCCGCGGCTCCAGCGGAATTCAGGGAAGTTTCGCTCGGCAGCGCTTTAGGAGTGGGATGGGGCGCTGGGATACGTCCACCCACCCCCCACTCCACCCCCCCCGCCCCGAGGACGGGGGGAATTTTTGCCCTGGCAAAGTGCGGGAGCGTGCGAGGGCTTTGGAAAGGCTGGAGCGCGTGCGGGCTTTGGAAAGGCTGGAGCTGCGGCTCGTCCCGGCGGATCCCGGCGAAAACAACCTCCTACAAAGCCTCTGTTGTGCTGCTGGGAAAGGTCTTGGCATGTCCCGCGCTGCTGACGCCGGGGCCGAGAGCGCGGCCGGGCGGTTCCAGTTCAGCTCCTCTCGCCCTCCTTCGGGGCCGGCGGAAAGTGGGAGCTGCTAATTATTAACTGCTCAAATATTCCCTCCGTCCGCAGGCTCCGGCCGGGGCCGGCGGGCAGGGATGTGCCGTGGGCACAGATGTGCCGTGGGGAGGGATTTGCCAGGAGAATTGTGCCGTCGGGGATGTGCCAGGGAGAGCTGTGCCATGGGATGGGATGTGCCATGGGATGGGATGTGCCATAGGGAGGGATGTGCCATGGGAAGCTGTGCCATGGGAAGCTGTGCCATGGGAAGCAGAGCTGCCCCACCCACGCTCCAGGCAAAGGGACGGTGACAGGGACACAGGGACGTGTCAGGGCTCCTCTCAGCGGAGAGGGTGGAAGCGGTGCCAGGTGGGAACATTCCCCAGGTGAACCTGCAACAACCAAAGGCTCCTGGGCTGGATCTGCGGCTGCAGCGGTGGGACATCCCCGCGGGGCTTCGTGTGGGGCTGTGGGGGAACAACAGGGAGGAGGAGGAAGAGGAGGAGAAGGAGGAAGAAGAGGTGTGTGGCACCAGCTGGGCGAGCCCGCAGCGTTTGTCCCCCGCCCTTGGCAAGGAGGCGACTCGCGGAGGGCCCGGCCCCGCCGTGTCCCCGTCCCTCATCCCAGTCCCGGCTCCCGGTGGGAACAGGGAGTCAGAGGAGGAGGAGGAAAAACGAGCCGAAGGATGAGGGAAAGGCGGCCCTGCAGGGTGTGCCCGGTGCTGCTGCGCCCGCGGCTCCGGTGACTCATTTTGCTTTAAAAACACGAATTCTTCGGTAAGGCTGGGCCGGAGCCTCCCGCGGCTTCCCGGGGCTTCC